CTACTTCTAAAAGTTCAGCCATTGAAAACCCTGTGAAACACAGTTCTACCCTGACACACATGGGGTCTCCATGACTCAGAGTTGACTCAACAGCAACTGTTAGTTTTGGGTTTTGGGGTTTTTTCCATCAGAGCTCCCTCCAGCAGTCCTGGGAAGAGAGGAAGAAGAGCCATTTCTATTTTCAGATGAGAGGGAAGCATGAAATCTCCTAGTCCATGGCAAAGAATATTCAATCTGTCATGGCCTGCCAGAAGAATGAAGAAATCTGTCTTGGAAGAAATACAGCCACAATGCTCCTTAGAAGAGAGGATATTGAGACTTCATCTCATGTACTTCGGACATGTTATCAGGAGGGACCATCATGCTAGGTAAAGGCCATCATGCTAGGTAAAGTTGAAGGTCAGTGAAAAAGAGGAAGACCCTCAATGATTGGATTGACACGGTGGCTGCAACAATGAGCTTGAACACAGCGACGGTTGTAAGGATGGCTCAGGACCAGGCAATATTTTGTTATGTAGTACAGGAGGTCACTATGCGTCAGGACTGACTCAATGGCACTGAACAATAACAATGGTTCTTTCCAGAAGATTCTGGAACTTCTCTGAGACTTTTTCTTGTCCTTGGCTTTTCCCCATAGCTGCATACCACTCCATCTTGCTCAGTCCTCCAGGTCTTTAGCCCCAGACCAGGCCTCCTGGACACTTGAGGATTCATCTTCAAAGGTGATGTTCTCTTGGGGTGACAGCTTTTAGCATCTTCCTGAAAATGCCATAGACCAGGAAGGAGCCTTTTGACAAGTATTCTGCCCTTCAAGCTGAGTAGCAGATCCCAAAGAAACATCAGAGCACCCCAGGCTGAGACAACAGGCCACCTGGCTCCACTGTTGTCTGGGGCACATTGTTGGGGCTGGTACCTGGGAGTGGGAGCTTCCCCAGCCCACCCTGCCCAGCTGTCTGAGCCCAAGCCCATCTCAGAGCCAGAAAGCAATATACAGTGAAACCCCGGACACTATTCTGAGCACTCCATGAAACTGAGACATTTTAATTCCAAGGCTAATATATTCTTCTGCCAAAAACACCCAATAAAATGTACAACTAATGAATAAAATTGCAACATTGCCAAGAAGCTATGTGTGCCCCAAATTTCCAAAAATACCTCAATCATGCTGTGTCTTAAAATCAGCCCCAAGCCAGGAAGTTGTTATTTAAAACTCAACACTGAGTTTCAGCAGCAGGAACTCTAGGCCCCAGGATGGAATCCATGTTAAAGTCACAAACCATGAAGTCTCTCACTTCTACATCCTTTAATCCCAAACCAGGCCTCCTTGAATGCTTAGGGGACTAGAACTTTCTGCTAATTGTGACAAAGGGCCAAAAAGCACAGTGCCAGAGTTGGAGGTTTGCAAAAGGGCTCCCTAATGGAGGGAGCAGTGTCAAAGCCAGACCCCTAAGTCTGCACTCACTGGTGTGGTTCCCTGGACACTGTGAACCCTGAAACGGAATGTTGATGTGCACCGGGGACATTTTTCAGTGGTAGGATGGGGTGTTCACAGCTTTCATCAGATTCTCAAAGAGGCCTCAGACCCAAAAAAAGTTAAAAACCACTTGCATCTTAGCCTCCTAGGACCTGTGTTCAGGAAGACTGCTCTGCCGGCAGCCAGAAAACAGAAACCAGATGTCAGTGGAACATAGGTCTGCTAAGAGTAAAGATGGAAGGTCCTAAGTCAGCCTGACTCGGTCCTAGCCAGCAAACCAGTTGCTGTCAAGTCAACTTCAACTTATGGCGGCCCCATGTGTGTCAGAGTAGAACTGTGCTCTCTAAGTTTTCCAATGGCTGGTGTTTCAGAAGGAGAGTGCCAGGCCTTTCTTCCAAGGAGCCCTGAGTGGACTCCAACCTCCAACCGTTTAGTTAGCAGTCAAGAGCATTAACTATGTGCACCACCTAGGGACTCAATTCTAACAACCTGAACTAACTGCGAACTGTTGCCTATGCTGTAGTGAACACAAGGCCCCTATCTCCAGGTCTATGTTAGGAGACAGTGTTGACATACAGACTGTAAAGATACAAATCTGACTGCCATCGGGTGGGGTATCAGGGAGAGCTTCCTGGAGGAAGTGGCATTGCTAGTCCTCCAAGAACAGCAGACTGGTTGATTATAGAAAATGGAGGGTTAGGCCCTGCAGATAGAAGGCAGGGCTGCCTAGGGAGGAGAGTGCTGTGTGCCCTTGTGCAGGAACCCCAGGGTTGGGGGTTTCCCTGTGCAGTGAGTGAGGGCTTGAGCTCTGCTGCCCCTGCCTGTCTGCCCTTGGGCTCCCACAGCCTTCCCTAGGACCTGACTCCTCCGTGGGACCAGGGGCAAATTACCCAATAAACAAGATAAGCATGGGCTTGCTTGTGATTACTTACTAATTTGTAGTCAGCCGTTCTCTACAGATTAGTAAGTAATCACAAGTAAGCCCATGCTTACTTGCTTACTGGGTACTCAATCCCTGTCAGGGATCGTAAATTTGAATAGGTTTTGATTCTATAGGAAGGTACTGTAGGGTTGGGAGAAAAACAGATACCAGCCATGCCTAGAAGCAGAATCTTTGATGTGTTTTTTTTTTTTTTTTTAAAAAAGTGAAATCGTTCACTACAGATTAGTAAGTAAGCACAAGGAAGCCCATGCTTACCTTTCTGATTGGGGAATCTGACACTGTGGGGCAGGCAGCTACAGCACTTTCATCTCCTCAGTGTCTGACATCCCAGCTCCCTGGGACCAGGGTCAGGCTCACACTCCAGGACTGGGATCAGAGGGAACCCCAGGGATCTGCTGGCCCGGCAGCCCTTTGATACTCACTCTAGCTCCCTCAGCAGCTGGCACTGCCCCCTGGGTTCCCCACCCCAGACACAGCCTCCAGGGAGGTCAGTCTGCTGGTCTGTAGGAGGAGCACAGGGCTGGGACTTAAGGATCACCCCATGTCTCCTGGTTACACCATCCGTGCGTTGAGCATTGCCCATGCCACCTCTGGGGCACATGGTGAGGATGAAATGAAATGAGAGGTAGGGTTGCACTAAACCAAGCGAAATGAGGCCACCAGGCATCTCGGCAGGATGAGTTTGGAATCAGAGCCCTGTCTTCCATCCCTGGCTCTGTCCCTCACCACACACAGATACATTGTTTGAGGAAGATGCAACTTTCCAGCATCCTGTCTCCTTGTGGTAGGCGAGGGCACCTGCCCTGCCCTGCCCTGCCTGCTCGGCAGCTAGTGCAGGCACCAAATGAGATAATGGCTGGAAAGTGCTTTGAAAAGAATAAAGTGCCGCGGCGATGTCAGGATTATCATTGTTATTAAGGAGCATGATTACCGAAATCCAGAAAAGCTGCCATTAACGAGCAAGCTCCTGTTCATGTTGATTTAATTTCCTGGTTAACTGAGCGTTGGCAAGGAAAATACTCTATGTTTCAACACTTATTGAAAATCTTTTAAAATTATGCCAGTCTACTTTCTTGCACTGGTCATGGTATCGTCTTGAATCTTTATTAATGGATTGATTCATTCATGTGTTCTTTTTTTCTGCTCTGGCTCTGACCATATTCTAAAAAGGCGATTGTGGGCTCAGCATCCTCTGTGCCTAGGGACCTCATGCCCCTCCCCCAGGACTTATAGGGTAAAGCGGAGGAGACCAACAGGTGGGAAAAACCACAGGGTATGGCCTTCCAAGTGGCCTCTTATGTAGTTCTGTACAGTCTCTTAATATATTGTCACGTGCTTCCTTAGAATGGTGCAAGGAAAAAAAATGGTCCAAGAAATACCTTCTCACAGGGTAAGGGCATTAAGCCTGGTGTATCTGGGTTTATCCAAGCGTCATCTAAAAAGTGACATGATTGCTTTTTAACAGACCTGCCAGAACTGGTGTGTCCAAAGGAGCCTAACCACCTTCTGGGTGGCCACATGCTCCTTGCTTAATGTCACTGCCCCTCTAAGGCATCTTGGGGTGTAGCCATCAGAGCTGGTGGTGGGCAGAAAGGGACAAAAGCTGCTTTGAATTGAATCTGATGGGAAGGGGCTGTTGGGTGTCAGCGAGTCAATTCCAATTCTTAGTGACCTTACGTGTTACAGAGCAGGACTGCCCCATAGGACTTTCCAGGCTGCAATCTTTGTGGAAGCAGATCACCAGGTCTTTCTCCTGTGGCACCTCTGAGTAGATTTGAAACACCAACCTTTTGGTTAGCAGCTGAGTTGATGGTTAACTATCGTGCGACGAGGGGAAAGGGCAGTCCCATTTCAATAGAACTATTTCAGGGTAAAAGTGTGCCTTCAAGGTCTTCAGGCCAAGGGTTCTCTATGTCCTTTGCTCCAAAGATATCTCCAAAGGAGAGGAAGGGCTCCAAATGTGGTGTTTGGAAGGAAAGCCCAGATGTGGTTTCATGTGTGTGCATAAGCATAGGCTGAAGGGCAGAGCAATGTCCAGCTCATAGAAGCAGGGCAGCTTGACCTCTGGGAACCCCATCTCCTCTTGGGAAGAAGGGATGATGATGCCTAAGGTTTCAGTGAGCTATGATAAGGACAGATGTGTAAAGAAGGAGTGGGTACACTTGTTGGCAGGGTAGGTGTTGGTGTGAGAACTTGTGTGTTGGGTTTGAAATACACTCTGGTCTCATGCAGCTGGTCCTTAGCTACAGGTACACACACCTGCGTGTAGACCCTGGTCCTCAACTGGAGCAATTTGGTCTCCCAGAGGACATTTGGGATATCTGGAGACATTTCTGGCTGTTGAAGTCTGGAGGGGGACTGTTACTGGCATCTAATGGGTAGAGGCCAGAGATGCTGCTAAACCTCCTATGATGCATGGGACAGCCCCACAACAGAGAAGGATCTGGTTTCAAACATCCCACTCCTGAGAGCCTGGTATACAGAGACACCAGTTCTGCCTAGATCTGTCGGGAAGGGAGGGTGTCCCTGCCCTAGGACAGGCTTTGTGCTCCATCATGCTACCAGTGTCTGTCTCTCCCCCAGAACCCTGACATCGTCCTGGTGCACTACCTGAACGTGCCGGCCATCGAGGACTGCGGCAAGCCCTGCGGCCCCATCCTCTGCTCCATCAACACCGACAAGAAGGAGTGGGCAAAATGGACAAAAGAGGAGCTCATCGGGCAACTCAAGCCCATGTGTGAGTAGCTGCAGCTAGTCTGCACACCCCACACTGGGGCTCCATTCAGCCTCACCTGGGTGGGGCCAGAGGTCTTCAGTGGCTGTGGAGACCAGGTGTGGGGGTCCCTTTCCACAAGGATGCCAATGACACATGAACTTCCGGGCCAGACTTCACTTTCTAAGGCCTACTTACACTCTAACCTTCACTTGATGCTCACAGCCTTCTGTGATGGCAAACATCCCACTCCTGACAGCCTGGTGTACAGAGACACCAATTTTGCCTAGACCTGTCGGGAAGGAAGGGTGTCCCTGCCCTAGGATAGGCTTTGTGCTCCATCATGCTACCAGTGTCTGTCTCTCCCATAATGGCAAGGCACAGAATGCCAATCCCATCCTGCAGATGAGAAAAGTGAGGTTCAGAGGAACATACACCATGTGCAAGTCACTCACCAAGCAATGAGAGGGCTCTGCACTGCAGATGCATGAGTTGTGGGTTGGGAGGGAGGGAGTCAGAGAGTGGAACCAAGCAGGGAGACCAAGGAAGGGAGCAGAGGGGCTGGCCAAAGCAGGCCTGGTCCTGCACTCAGGTGGCCCTGGGCTTGGCCGCCACCTCCTGGACACAGGGCTGCCTCGGCTCCCAGACTGGGTGGCAAATGGATGATGGTAATTGAGCTGGATTTCATTTTGTCAGCAAAGTGATGCTTTCAGAAGCATCTGTCAGGTGCAAACCACTGAATGCAAAACACTAAATGAGTCCAGAAAGCAGCGCCGGGGCCTCGTTTCCGTGGGCCACGGTGGCCTCCTCTGCCTGCCAGGCAGCTGGGCTCAGGAAGAGCAAATGTGGTCTGCTGGGCAGGAGAGAACAGAGCATCAGTGCTGGGCCCAGGCCCAGGGCCGGCCTGGGAGGACTGGTCTTGAGGCTTGGATGGAGGCCTGTTGTCACACAAGACGTCAGAGATGGCCCGGGGATCACTAGGAACTATTTGCCCCTCCAACTAGACTAGAGGGAGGAGGCTGATGGATGCTATAGGCAGGGGAGCAACTAAAACATCCGGGGGCTGGGCAGGCAGTGTCCCATCACTGTGGTGTCCAAGTTGATACCAGTGACACCTGCAATGACCAGGTGAACCTGAGGTTCTCTCCAGTGCTCAGATTCAGGGATCTCCCCTGCAGCCCCCTGGTTAGGAGAGCAAATGGAAGACCCTGCAGACCTGTAGACCAGCAGCCTGAGTGAGCTGGACTGAGCTCACCACATGCCACCCTCCTGAACCAGTGGTCTGTGGGGAGGCTCTGGAAAGCCTGGCCTTGGCACCACTGCCCAGAATCAAGAGCCCAGATGGCCCAGTCTCAGGCTATTCCAGTAGGACCTTCCAAACTGCAGTGGTGACCATACCTGACTTGTGCCCAGTGCCACACGGGAAAACTCCTGGCATGAACAGCACCTCCACCATCAGGCCTCACGCCTCTGCAGCTTCAGATTCTGTATCCAGCTGCATTCAGACTTTTCTGGTTCCTCCACAGGAGACTGCCTCTCCCCCTGCTGCCTGCACCCTCTCCTGCCCCGCCCCCGCACCTCCTCTGCTACTCCCCTACCCCCCCTTGCACCCTCCTTTGTCCCTCTGCTGCACCCCCCACCATTTCCCGCCCCTCCCCTGCATCCATTCCATCTGCATCTGCTCACATCCATCATCCTTCAGCTCTTCACTTCTCAGCCCAAACGTCACTTCTTCCTGGGTCCCCTGACTGCTGACCACACACTCTGGCACACAAGCATCTTCCAAACTCTGCCCCCCACTCCTGGACAGACCTCAGACAAGAATCTCCCTCATGTGTCTAACTAGAAGGGGCTGCGGCAGCCTCTCCAAATTCTGCAGACTATCAGAAATCAGGAAACACTACAGCAAACATCCCATGAGTCCTCCTTGCCTCAGCCACCCCCAGGGTCCAGCAGCAGGCTCGTGGAAGTCCCTTGTGGACGTTTGTTGAATGGATGAATGGGAAGTGGCTGGCCCAGCTCTAGTCCACTCCCCACAAGAGCCTGAGGAACCGGCAAAATCTTCCAGTGTCCAAGCCCAATATTTGAGGGTCCCCCTCCAAGGGCAGGCCAGAGGCCCAGGACAGTGAAACCAGAGGCTCCTGCTCCCAGACTCACCTGTCTATCTCTTCTGAATGGGTGGAGCTTTCACTGCACACAGGGTCCCCCCATGGCCTGCTCATACTTCCTTGCACTGACATTGAGTTTCCTGCCCCAGGTTCTGCTCACACCTGCTCTTCAGCAGAGCCTTGCCTAGGCCAAAGCATGACTCTGGTGACAAAGGGCAGTGAGGCCACCTGGCCAGGGCATTGGAAAGAATCAGAGCTGGGGGAGTCAGGAGGCAGGCACTCATCCTGGTTCTGTGGCCACCTCGCTGTGTGACCCTTGGCCAGTCAACTACCCCTTCTCCACCCTAGCTCCCCTTCTATAAAGTGAAAGAATCCACAGTCTCTGTCCCAAGACCCACAGCTTCCTGCCAGCTCTGCAAGGCCTGGCTCAGCTCCTCTATCTCTGCTCAGCCTCCATATCCAGGGAGGCTGGTGTTCCGGGAGCTGGGATTACTCCAGGTGGTTGGGTTCATTCTGGCAAAGCTGCCCATCTTCCCCTTTGTAGGAGGATATACCCAGGGAGGAGGCCTGGGCCTTGGCTGGGACTTGATGATGCTTCCAAAATAAGAGTCCTAAAGGAGGACTCTTTCCTTGAAAGGGTGGCCAGGCACACCTGCACCTTGTTAGACCCCATAGGGTTCAAGGTTTGAGAAAGAAGCTCATTCTCAAAAACTGTCTTTACTTGTTGTCTGTTGTAGTCAAGTCAGTTCCAACTCAAAGCAACCCCATGTGACTGAGTAGAATCACTCCAAAGGGTTTCCTAGGCTATACTCCTTGCAGAAGCATATTGCCAGGTCTTTCTCCCACAGAGCCGCTGAGTGGGTTCAATCTGCCAACCTTGCTGTTAGCAGCTGAGCGCTTAACCATTGCTCCACCAGGGCTCCTTTTGTCTTCAACCGGGAGTAGGGATTTTCTTTTTGGCCTCTCTGGGCCTGTCATCACTTTCTTCTTGAGCTGCTCCAAGGAGTTTAGGTTCCATTTGCAAATCAGGGCTTCCCCATCCACATAGTCAGGGAATAGCCCCAACACCAGCTGGGTCACAGGAAAATCCCTAGAGACTGTGTCAGCCAGAGATTAGCCAAGGTGATGCTCCTGAGGGAAGAGAAACCTTACAGGATGGCCACCCCAATCCGACCCCTCTGTGCCCCCAACACCAAACATCTCTGTCAACAGGCCCTGGCAGGCCTTCCCTCAAAAACCATCCCTCACCATTTCCCATCCTGTCATCTCACCTGCTTCCTTTTTCTCTCCTCATTGGCTCTCCCTTCCTTGCAATGCCCTAGATCCTCAGCAGTGCCTCAGAAAACCCACCATCCCCACGCAAGAGCCTGCCCATCCTCAGAAGGGGGTGCCACCTCCCAAATGAGTGGGGACATTGAGCTCTGAGAAGCCCAGGGGGTGGCAGCCAGACCTGAGCCTGGCTCTGTTGCTTAACCGGAAGGACTGTGAGAACCGCTCCAAAATCTGTAGTGCATCAAGAAAATTACGTAAAACCACAACAAACTCCTCATAAATCTAATAACACTTGGCTTGCTGGTATCTCAGGAGGGAGCACAAAGCCTCGAACAATTACTCAGAGTGGGCACAGATGTGGGGCACTAGCTGGAGATGCCCAGCCTGGGAAATAGGTCTTGGGAAGCTCAACTCAAATTAAAGCCTTTGATTCAGATCAGCCTTGGAACCCGCATACAGCAGCCACTAACCGTTCGGAAAAGCAGAAGTGTGCTGGGTGCCAAGAAGGTATCAGATCTGGTTCAAGAATCAGGCATGCCACTGAACGCTGGAGCCAAACACATTAGCTTCATCACATTTTCACATAAATCACATTCTTTCAAAGACTTCACAGTTTGATTTCCTGATGTTTCCAAATTTCTCTGCCCTACAGCAGAGTTGTCAGTGATTTAATCAAAATGTGCTTATCAGCAGAGACGTGAAACTCTGATCCGACCTGTGCCTCACCTGTGGCAGGATGGGGCCTTCATGGTCCTCACACCTCGGGAGTCTCACAAATGCCCACATCTAAGCCAGACGGATTCAGAGAATCCTACCTTGTTTCTTCCTTTCGACCTACAATCCGAGGGATGACTCCTCCAGATAAAAAACAAAGACAGAACAAAATTAAGATGTCTGATAGGAATTCCCATGTTCCTTAAGATCCTCCCTGTCTTTTGTAATCTTATCTGTAGTAGTTAGAATATGGGTCCTGCTTCTATAACAAATAAGGAGCTCTGGTGGTCTGGTGGCATAATGCCTAAGACATTTGACTGGTAACCAGAAGGCTGGTAGTTAAAACCCACCAGCTACTCCCCAGAAGGAAGACTGGGCAATCTACTTCCATAGAGATATCAACTCAGAAACCCAAGAAGGGGTTGCTATGAGTCAGGAACGACTTGACAGCAGTGAGTGTCAGGGAGAGGTGGTGTAGTTGGTTAAGGCATTTGGCTGCTAACTGAAAGGTCAGTGGTTCGGAACCACCAGTCACTCCATGGAAGAAAGATGGGGCAGTCTGCTTCCGTAAAGATTTACAGCCTTGGAAACCTAATGGGGGTCATTATGAGTTGGAACTGACTTGATGGTAGTGAGTTGCTGTAACAAAGACCAAAGCAGCAGTGGCTTAAACAAAATAAGAGTCCCTGGGTGACACAGAGTTAAGTGTGCTCAACTACTAGCTGAGAGGTTGATGGTTCAAGCCCACTCAGAAGCTAGTGTGCTTCTGAAAGGTCACAGCCTTGAAAACCCTATGGAGAAGTTCTGTTCTGCACATACTGGGTTTCCATGAGTTGGAATTGATTCAGCAGCTACTAACAACAACAAAAAATAAAATAGGAGCTCATTTCTCTTTCACATAGCAAATGGTGTGGCAGCTCCATAGTATCA